AATGAATCCATGACAGACAGAGGGTCACAAAGTGACTAATCAGAGGGCTAATAGTTATTTAAGTCCCCCGAGGCATGGGCCCTCCGTGGTGGTACTTATAAAATAATTACTCAAAACACATTTTAATAAACAGTTATATCCATGGGTCTTCATCATTATATAAGATAAGGTTCATAAATTAAATAACATAATTAAAAATGCTAATATAATTTATAAAATATAATTTGCGTAAAATAAATTGTGGTAACTCAAAACATATATAAAATATATTATGGTGACTCAAGGAGTAATATAACTCACCTTAATGTTAATTCCAACTTTTACCTTTCGTTCATTATGACCTACTAAATACTCCAAACTAAACTCAAAAGTTTTATATATAAAAAACACTAAAGAGCAGAGAGAAAGAGAGAGAATAAGAGAGCTTGGATTGGTGATGATGCATACGGTGAACATCCCTATATATAGGGGAAGAGGCGTGGTCAGCAAGTGAATTGGGGGGCACACTTCCTTGTTATACAAAAATAATTACGGTTTAATGTATTTTGATTTAGGAAAAATATAGAGAAAAATATCATAATACTCAGAAAATAATATTGAATAATAATATAAAGTTAAAATTACTGAAATCATTTATAATTAATTAATACTAATATAAAATTTAAAGGGCAACTTAAATTTTTGGGTCGTTACAGTTACTACCAGCCTCCCCATTCATTTCTTATCCTAATGTCATCCCTTAGGCCATATGCACAAACTATTTATCTCTCTCTCTCTCTCTCTCTCTCTCTCGCAATCATAATCGTGACGCCACCAGTCTCCCCATCTATCTCCTACCCTGACGTCACTCTTCTGCCTATATCTCTCTTTCTCCCACAGTCGCATCACAATCTTATCTTTGTGTCTAGTGGCAGCTGCGACTACGGTTGTAGCGATGGAAATAAGGGTCATAGGGCCGACGGCCATTGTTGGGAAGTAGCCAACGAAATATCAATGGCAGTGACTAGTAGGGTTTAGTTTGTAGAGTGTGTACTTAGAATTTTGTACAAAATAATTTGACTAAGAAGCATAAGTGTAATAAAAAAAAAAAATTAGAAAGATTGTATGTACTGACTCAAATGGTGGTGTGCAAATAGAAGCTCCCTAAACTAATAAATAAATTTTAGTTATCCTGTAACTACTACAAAGCATTTTATAGGGAGCTGAATAAGAAAGGGTTTTTTTTTATAAATCCTCTTTCTAAATGTTTTATTCCTTCTAACCTATCTTATTTTTTAGTATTCCATTAGATTATGTTTAATATAATATGACCAAATCACCCTTCTTATTTTTGACATATGTTTCCATTTTAAAATCAATAGACAATAAAAAAATAACAATCACTTTGTTTGGTTTTAGTTTTCAGAAAATTTTACTTTTTCTTTTTTTCGTATTTTTTTTTTGTTTTCACTGAAGTTTTTTAATATTTTAAGCAATTTTTTTTAATTTTTAGATACACATAACATAAATACACTTAAAAAGTATAATATTTGTGAAAAAAAATCTTTACAAAAATCACTAAATATCGAAAATACAAAAAAAAAAACGAAAATTCACTATATATATATTTTTAATATTTTTGTGTATTTATTAATTTTTAAAAATATTTTTTCATAAATATTTTATTATTTAGATATATCTAAGTAAGGTGCATATAAAAAAGTAAAAAAAAAAAAATTGCTTAAATTTTAAAAAATATTTACTAAAAAAAAATGCAAAAAACAAAAAAAACTGAAATCAAACACACTGAATAGTATCTTATTTATGGAGAAAATATCTCTCTCATACTAAGGAGAAAATATCTTCCTCATTTTAAGGAAAAAATCTCCCCTTCATTCCACAAAGAAAATCTCAAATTATGAATTTTCAACTTTTGCATAATGTGAAAATTTTAAAAATAACGCAACAAAAATCTGAATGAAAATCAAAATACAATATAAATATTCACAGTAAACAACAAACATACAACTAACTTCCAAAAAAATAAATAATATTAATGTTCACAATAAATAATAAATATACAACTAGCATTCAAAAAAGCAAAACTCAATCTAGTTGAACACCCACATAATCCACTATTTTAGACTTTTATTTCAAATTTTAAATTTTCATAATGCTTCAGTTTGTTTTGCCCCGTCTAAATGGTTGATTTTTATAATGAATAATGCTATATGTATCAATTAGTGTACTAATTAATATACTAATTGATGATGTGACATAATTTAAGAATTTTTTGATATTTATACTAATTGGTGCATGTAGCACCATCGTGGGCGTGCACATTAAATACATATGCAACATGCATATGAAACAATTTTTTTTTTAAAAATAAATTGTATCAATTAATTAAAAAATAAAAAATCTACATTTAGTGAAATTTCACTATAATTTTTTTTATTGCGAAATGATATTGAGAAAAAACTTTTGGAGTAAAATAGGAAATATATGCACATATATACTTTTAAAATTTATTTTATTTTATTTTATTGAGGACATACAATTGCATGATTATGAAAATTATATGATGTCAAAAAATGGCCACAAAATACATAGTTCAAATGTTGATTCTGTGTACTCAGTGGATGATAAATCTACTCTAAATGACTTTATAATTTATTTATACATTAAAAAATGTGAAAAAATCTATGTTGAATAATTTATAGTCAGAATTCTATAATTTATTTAAGTAATGTTATACACTCCTTTTACACCAATTTTTTTTAAAAAAAATATTTGACACAAATATAGTAAAGTTCACATCAATAAATACATGTGAGATGAGACTCATGTAATTCTATCTAGTGTAAATGTAAAAAATACTTTAAATTTTTGTGTTGTGTAAATATTTTTCAATTTATTTATGTTAAATATACATATTTTTAAATTTAAATTTGACAAAAAAAATAAAAATAAAATAAAAGTAGCAGGATATCCAAAATTTGGGAAATAACATGGTTAGCGGAGTGTTTATTAGATATTTCTAAAATATAATCATGTAGTATTTTATGGTATTATAATTGATAAAAAAGATAAAATATTATGATTTTGTGTTGAATAATTAAAGAACATGAACATTGTGAATGATAATTGCTGATGAGAATGAAAATGTGATAGTCCTTAAGCCCCGTTTGGGATGTCAAAATAGATATATAGGATAAAATAAGTTATTTTAGTTAAATAATACAAAATATCACATCCAACTTATAATTATTTTATTTTTTTCTCACAAAAAATAAAAAAACAAAAAAATTATCACAAACCAAATTTTTTAACCCCAAACTAAAAAAAGTCCAAAAATTAAAAAAATCAAAAATCCAACCGACGGCCCAAACGAACCATAATAATTTTCCCGGTTTTAGCGCGCCGTTTAAGGGGCCATTTGAATGTTTCAGTTTCAGTGACAAATAACTGTAGAGAGAGAGAGAAAAAAAGGAAATCAAAATCAAAATTATCACTGCAATATTGATAGAAAGCGTTACTGCAAAAAAAAAAAAAAAAAAATCAAAAGTAAGATTCATATAGGTTAGGAAGACCCATCTGACAAATTGATCGATAGAAAGGGTATATATTAGTCCCTCTCGATGATTTTCATTACATACAAACATAGATATATATATGAACGTATTTATATATGATGATGATGATGATGATGATGAATTTGTTGGCTTATTTTTCCTACGAAGGAAAATATTATAAATGCGAGCGTGCCAGCAAGGATTGAAAAATCCTTACAGATTAAATTCAAGCCAATTATCAAGCGATTCCGTTGACGGTTCGTTTGCCTCAACAAAGAGGACTTCAAATTTGCCAAGTGTAGAGAAAAAAAAAAAGTAAAAGAAGAAAGAGGGACGGAGAAAGACGATTGAGTGAACAATCAAAGTAATAATTACGTACCTCTACTCCTATGCTTCGACAAAAGGAAGTGCATAAAATGCTTCGAAATGGAAATGCTGAAAATAAATGCTTCGAAATATAAATCTATGTTAAACTACTCCTAAGATAAGGAAAATGACAAGAAATATTGAAATCAAGTGTTTTTGATTTAAGTTCTGGATCCTTTTACAATGTAGCCATTAATGGCTATTTATAGAAGAAAAAATACAGCAATAACTACTTAGTAACTACCCATTTCTTCCATCTTCATTCTTGTCTTGCCATGTGTCCTTCCACTCATCCACTTTGTCCTCCCACTCATCCACTTTGTCCTTCATATTCTCCATTATCTCTATAACTTCTTTTAACTTCCAAATGAATAAGAGGATGCCACGTGTCCTGCAATTATATAAATAATAAATAATAATAAAAATTGCAGATTTATGGTGTTAACAGTTAAATATACATATTTTTAAATTTAAATTTGACAAAAAAAATAAAAATAAAATAAAAGTAGCAGGATATCCAAAATTTGGGGAATAACATGGTTAGCGGAGTGTTTATTAGATACTTCTAAAATATAATCACGTGGTATTTTATGGTATTATAATTGATAAAAAAGATAAAATATTATGATTTTGTGTTGAATAATTAAAGAACATGAACATTGTGAGAATGAAAATGTGATAGTCCTTAAGCCCCGTTTGGGATGTCAAAATAGATATATAGGGTAAAATAAGTTATTTTAGTTAAATAATACAAAATATCACATCCAACTTATAATTATTTTATTTTTTTATCACAAAAAATAAAAAAACAAAAAAATTATCACAAACCAAATTTTTTAACCCCAAACTAAAAAAAAGTCCAAAAATAAAAAAAATAAAAAATCCAACCGACGGCCCAAACGAACCTTAATAATTTTCCCGGTTTTAGCGCGCCGTTTAAGGGGCCATTTGAATGTTTCAGTTTCAGTGACAAATAATTGTAGAGAGAGAGAGAGAGAGAGAAAAAAAGGAAATCAAAATCAAAATCAAAATCAAAATTATCACTGCAATATTGATAGAAAGCGTTACTGCAAAAAAAAAAAAAAAAGTTGAAAAAATAAAATCAAAAGATAAGATTCATATAGGTTAGGAAGACCCATCTGACAAATTGATCGATAGAAAGGGTATATATTAGTCCCTCTCGATGATCTTCATTACATGCAAACATAGATATATATATGAACGTATTTATTTATGATGATGATGATGATGATGTTGTTGTCTGGCATTGTAGGAAATGATGGCGGATCCAGCGGGAGATGGTTCTGGTATTTGTACTAGTTCTGAATCGGTTGAGGAGAAGAATAAAGAGGCTGCTGATGATCATCAGTTTGAATCTTCTTCTTGTTCACCTTCTTCAGATAATAAAATTGATAATCATTCATTCTCCAAGAAACCTCGACTTTTCGGCCGCCAAAAATCGGTCCATGTGGTTCTCGGTGGTGGCAAATGTAAGTAATGTTTGTAACATTGTACGATCATTTCCATCCTTGCAATTGTTTTGTTACTATAGATTTAATATTTTGATGTTTTGATCCTCTCAACATTGTATATGAATTTATACATGATGATACAAAAGCCTTTGGTTTGTAATTTTCAAAAATAGTTTTTTAAGTTTTTAATTCGTATTTTTTTAATCAATTTTTGAATATTTTAATTTTAATCAATTTCTTTGTGTTTTTAAATATACTCAATCTATATACGCTTGAAATCTATGTACATTTGAAAAGTATAAAATTTGTACAAAAATCTTTTAAAACTTTATTGAATACAAAACAAAAATAAAATCAGTAAATTTTCGTATTTTGTTATATTCAATAATTTTTTTTTTGTATAAATTTTATAATTTTAAGTTTTAAGTGGATCAAAAAAGTTAAAATTTTGATTAAATTTTTTTAAAATTCACTAAAAATAAAAAAATATACAAATTGAAAATTTTAAAATCCGAACCAAACATGGGAACTTTCTTATAATTGTTTAAACAATAGTATAAATATGTTTTTATTTGGATAATTTTGGTATTTTAATATTAATATTTATATTTGTTTATAGTTCATAATAATATATAGTATAGATAGTGATCATAGTACATACCTGTATGACTGGAACTATATATAATTAAGCCAATTTTTATGTAAAAGAGGTGAGCATTAGCATTATTGCCAACTAAATGAGTAGGCAAAATCTTTTTATAGTCTACTAGATGAACAAATATTGGATGCAATGGTGGTGTCACCGACTAATAGGAAGCCCCAAATGGAATTTGACTTTGTCTTTCATCTTATTTGGAGCTTTCCATTGGTCTAGTGTCATTGCTGCATCCAATATCTACTCATACTTGCACGAATTAAACCCCACCTTTTAATTTTGGGGTCATTATTTTGTTAAGCTACATAAGGTAGGGGAGGACATGAGAGGGGACATTGTTGTATTGGTCACATTATTGCTGGTATTTTCTGCAAATGCGCTTGCTTGAGCAATTGACAATGCATGAATCAAATTTTTAGAATTATAAGTGAAGTTGTATACTTTTCACTTTGCTCTGTTGGTTTTACTCTCTTTTATGGAGTGATGAATATGGTGTGAAGCTCTAATAAAGTCCATGCTATCTTGTGTTTCTTATTGGTTCCTCTAAGCACATGCTGATCATAATATACTCTGTCTGTTCAGCTGCTGACATCATACTTTGGAGAAACAAGCAGATCTCAGCAGGCATGCTTGCTAGTGCAACTGTCATATGGCTTCTATTTGAATGGATAGAATATCACTTGCTTACCTTTGTTTGCCATTCTCTGATACTTTCACTGGCAATGTTGTTCCTCTTTTCCAATTTATCCTCCTTTGCTAACAAGTGAGTTTATTTCCTTTAGTTTTTATGATATTAAATTTTACTACATCAATTGTTCAATTCACCTATCTTATGCCACCCTGTTTGTGAACTATCTTTTTGTGTTGCTAGGTTATGCCACCCTGTTTGTGAACTATCTTTTTGTGTTGCTAGGTTCTGTATTTGAATATGAAGCTTAGATTGATTCTTGCTTATTATTGCATCTATATTAATCTATACTAATATATATAAAGGGCGAGAACCATTTGGTGTCTCCCAGCAATATGTCATTCTGTCAATGTTTTAATTTACCAAAAGATCCACATGCAGTTAATGTTCACCAGTTAATGAGATCCACAAACTCTAATAACCGTTCGGATAGAAACGGAAAACTCACTCTCCATGTCTCCACAAAAAATAAAAAACTACCTCACACTTTTTCAACTTTAACAAAACTCATGCAGTTTTCGGTTTTCAGATTTCCTTTCTCATTCAATGCTTATCATCATAAAGTATGTAATATAATGCACAGACGGAGTGTGTGCCACCCTTATAGTATATATATTGGCTGCCATAGTGTTAGATTGTTTTGCTGTATTATTTTATGTAACTAAGCAATATTCTCTATTTTTATATATATAAAAAAAATGTTCTGCATAAGAAATGTTTCTCACTGTCAGTATCTTTCGACGGGTTTCTCCCCCGTATTCTTCCCGTGTATAACACAAAGTTCCTTGTTGAAGTACACTTGTATGTATTATGTCTTTATTTCAGATAAAAATGCTTGTGAATAAAGACTCCTTGTTTTCTTTTGACAGTTTTTCCCCCATGTTCTCTTCTCATGTATAACATAAAATTCCTTGTTGAAGTACCTTGCACGTATGAAATCTTTATTTCAGATAAAATTTGCTTGCGAGTTTGCTTTCTCTTGACAGATATGATTTAGTAACAATCATTTTTCCTTTTTTGATCAGTTCATCTCCGAAGTTTCCTGAGTTTGAAATGCCAGAGGACCTCTTAGTGAGAATCGCTCTCTTACTGAGGGACCAACTTAACCTGGCAATAGCAACCTTTCGAGAAGTGGCTTTAGGAAAAGATTTGAAGAAATTCCTCTATGTATCTTCCCCTCCAGAAATTTATGTCTCTACATCAAAAGCTTAGATAATTTCCTACTCATTTTGAACCGTGACAAGTTATTTTTGACATGCAGATCACTGTGGGTTTGTGGGTTATCTCCGTTGTCAGCAGTTGGTTTGATTTTTTGACCCTTTTATATATCAGTGAGTTTTTAATCCATCTCTTATCGTTACAGCATTGATTGAGGCAGTTATTTTGATTTTCAATGTGATTTAACCATTATGTTCTTTTTCTAATTGTTGCATTTTTACATATAACATAAGTGATTTTATGTCGGAATATAGCTACAAACATATGTTCATTTCGGTCAGATCAAATTGGTTGTGTCCGAATATAGTTACAACCATAGTAACAAACAGGCCACCACCACCTTATGCTGGGGTGAAGAAGAAAACTCTCTTCCCCAATGTTAACTAGTGAGTCACCGATTGAGGTCACCTGTGCCACATTTACAGCTGCAAATGAATTGAGCTCCTCATGATTTCGGCTCTCTTCAATATGTATATAAACAAGCCTAAGTCAGATTTTTAGGCTCGTTTAATAAACGAGCCAAACTTGAGATAGAATAAGCTCATCGTTCATTATTTATTTAAATATTAAGATAAATATATTATTTAATATAAATTGTGTTATATATGCATATTTAATATAGATTGTGTTATATATGCATATTTAACATAGAAAAATATTTAACAAGTTAACCGAGCTTGATTATTGGGCTATATTTTTTCTTCTTTGTTGAGCCAAGCTCGAGCCCTACAAAGCTCGGTTCAACTTGACTCGACTCATTTTCAGCCCTAGATATACACTACCTCACATTGGGTGGTCATAATTATCGTAGATTGTGAATAACTGAATAAAACAGATTAGTCATAATCAGTAACACTATGAATAGGAAAAGCAACAGTATAGTCATTGTAATTGTGTATTTTCAGCCCTTTCTTAGGTCATTCATTTGCCGATATGACTACTGCTGTTGCTTTTTGTTTATGTTATTGCAGTGTTTGTGATGCTGCAAACGATACCCTTCCTGTATGAAATGAATGAGGATCAAGTGGATACTTATGCTGAGAAAGCCATGGTCGAAATCAAGAAGCAATACGCAGTGTTGGACGGAAAGGTTATCCAGAAAATCCCAAAACTCCCTTTCATCAAGGATGATAAGCATGACTGATGACAAGATAAATGGTTAGTATGGGGCAGGTTCATCTTTGCCTCTCCATGAAGGTTCATCGGCCCCCTATTCTTCTTATTAGTAACAGCATTAACCCACAACACTATGCTGCTTCTCGGTTCTTGTTCTTTTTTTTTTTGTTAATCATCAACAAAACTGTTTTCTTGTCTCTTTAATGACTTTTACAGACTGATGTTCTTCACATGTGACTGTAATGTGAGAGTTTGGCCTTTTATCACCTTTTAAAGATGAGAGAAAATGTTTTGTTTTTGATTGACCTCCGATGTGATTGGCTTGCACCTTCAAGAATTACATCTACAGATTGCAGAAGCATCGATTATATTTAAATACTTTGTCTGCTTTCATTTTTTTTTTTTTGGGGGGGGGGGAATGTGATTGAACTTTTCTGCTTCGAGTTCATAGGGTTAGAGTTAGCATAGACAAATTTGAGAGTTGAGGGGAGATTTTTTCATTGATTGAGAGAGATCATAGGTGAACATCACACAAGTTAAGACTTTCAATGCTAGACAGGCAGATTCTCCGCACAATAGTTATGGTTAGTCATTTTATAAAACTCGATAGACACATCTAAACAGTCTTATAATTCAACTACAAGGATTCAATACTTAAAACCAATAAAAAAAAACAAGAAATACAAGAAGCAAATCTAAATTCTCAGTAGTCATATGTTCTTGCTTCTAGTTTTCAGTTCTTTAACATCCAGTAACTTCATTTATTGTGTGTTCACTCTTCACTACCCTGCAAAACTTACATGCGGGAAATTCATGTTCATGAAAGGCAAAAAAAAAAAAAAAATTAATCATGCTTTTGGCCTTTCGGATCCTGGTGGCAGGAAAGGCTCCCACCACACCGAACACGTACTTTGGATAGGGTGCTACCCAGTTTTCTGGCTTCTCGACAGAACTAGATGCCATTGCCAAGGTTTCTTCCAGCTTATAGCTTTCTGATAAAACTCTGTCCGGTCTTAACTTCATGAACCTGTGTAGCCACACACAATCATGCATCAACATTATGCTGTTGTGGGTAAATAAGCAAACCAGTACATAGATGGATTCACATAAGTTACCCAAATGGTCTTTTCCTTGGTTTTATCGCACAAGATCAAAAGATCAAATTGATGGTGGATCCAAATTATCCTTAGTCAAACACCTAAAAAATGAAAAGTATACAAGTTCTTGAGGGCAGATGATTTTTGGATTGGAGATATTGCCCCTTTACTAGAGACGGAAATTGTGTTGTGATATATCGGGTTTGTGTAAGAATTTTCTCAACATTAACTTTATATGTTTAACTAATTATGTCAAACATGTCAATCTGAGCATGATATGGAAAACAAGATAACACCCTCTAATCTTGTTTAATAGATCAATGCTTCAATCAAAAGCTATGATTAAACTTGGGGGGAATTAAAAAGAACATAGAAAATATAAATGGACCAATAAAATGTGCATTTCAATAAACATATTGAAGGACTATAATATTATTAGATAGAATAAGATTAATATTTGTATAGCAATTAAACTAAAGCGGTTAAGTCATGCCAAATTTGTGTTATGTGAGTTTTGGCACTAACTTGATTTGTTTGCAAGGCTTATGAGCACAAGAGTTAAGACTTGAAAATACAAGTCCAAATTTAATGAAAGGTTGGGCTAAAATTTGTTAACTCAATTAAATTGTGCCATATCACTAGAATTTATATTTCTTGATATAAAGGGATCCACTTTGAGGTATCCAAACCCTTAATTTGCTGCTTGTAGATAGCAAAATATTGAAGAATCTGGAGAAAAAGAACAATAACATTATATCTCAAAAATTTATCACATTATCAATACAATAGTGACTAAGAGTGCGAACTTGGGCGGGTTAAACCTGAACGACTCAAGCCTATTCCAAAATTTTTTAGTACATAACAACATATTTTAAAATTCGATAGAGAGTTTGGCAGAAATTTAGAAGTCTAAATTATATTTTTTTCCTTATCAATAGAAATTCAACATAACAATAACATCATATAGAATTTCAGCAACTAATAATAGAACTACACATCAAATTGTGAATTCCACTAATTAGATAAGTTTGTAACCACCACATATACTTATGTTTGGATTTATAAGAATTAAAATTAGAAACTAACAGTCACAGAAAGCACAGTGCCTACACTCAAACTATTTACAGCACCAACCAAAATCAATTTACTGCCATAGTCTACAAATTGTGAAGAATTGATGGGAATTCCACAGCAACAACAAAAACTTGGCAGGTGAAGAGACAAGTCACCCGTAGCTGGACAAGTTCAATATAAGCCATGGGTGCATTGTCCCCTCTCTTCGACAGAGTTCTGATTAAGCTGAGTTGTGAGGCCACGCAACAGTGCACGGCGCTGGTCTGGGGGCTTACTGAGTTTAGGTACTCTCTTTCCGTGTCTCATGGCGAAGAAACGGCCTCCATTGTTGATAGTTGGGAAACCCTGATTGAAGTTGGTGAATTCTGTAAGAAGTCCAATGAAACTATACATAGCTAATATGTTTATTTCTGATCAAATCTCACCATTTCTAATGAGAAATGAAACCTATAGACCAGACATGAGAAAATAGTTCTCTTTATCTTCATTTCTTATTATTTTTCACCAAATTACTCGATTCAAACGGACAGGGAGAGTTAAGTTGAACATGTACTGCTAATATGATACCTATTGGTAATGTCATCAGGAAAGACATAGTAGCACTGTAACATGATTGGACAAACAACAATACTACGTGTCCAAAAAAATACGCATAAAACTCAATGTGTAAGGTCAATCTGAGCGACACATTGATTTTTCTTTGATTTTTTATTTACAATTTTCCGTGTGCACATAACTTTAATGATTGTCCAAATCAATGCCCAGCTAACAAGACAGACATTATCACCTTCCCCAATTATACAGAGCAAATTCACACATATTTGCACATGGAAAATACACAACAATTAAAAAACCCTATAGCAATTTAAGCAATGAACTGGAATTTTCAAAGAGAAAAGTTAGGGATCATGAAAAAACTTTCATGAAAATGATCATGAAAGATTTATAATTCTTGGATTACCTTGATTAGTGTATGATGTTTTATTTTAAGTGTAATCCAAGGGTCATAAATCTTTCATGATCATTTTCATGAAAAAAATTTCATGATACCTAGCATTGCTCATTTTCAAATGTATACGTGCGTGTATATGTATGTATTTGGCCTAATTGCTTGACGTTGCTGGTAAAAGAAGAGGGGTTTGAATTTGGTTCGTATATAGTTGCACATTGGCTCCCAATTTTGTTTCAGTTTTACTTTATTTTACGCTGCGTTTGGTTAGGGGATTTGGAGAGGAATTTGGAAAGAGAAAGGGAAAATGTGTGTAAAATTATGAGAAATATAAGTATGTTTTATTCATATTTCATCATTAAGGACCTTGACAATTTGTATTTTTTTTTTCTATCAGATTTTTCACCTTTGTTTTTACACCAAACTGGTGATGTTTGATGAAATTGAAATCTAAAAATTAAAAATTATACGGTAAATTACACTGACATCTCCTAAGGTTTATATTTATTACAGTTCCTCATCACATTTGGAAAATTACACTGACCCTCCTTGTTCGTGTAATTATTTGACGGTGTTAACTTTTAAGTTAAAGTGACATATTTACCCTTAACCTTTACATATACTTTAAAGGGTAAATTACATTGACACCTCTTGAGGTTTCTATTTAATACAGATCCTTCCTTGACATTTAAAAAAAAAAAAAAAACTAATTTAATAAAAATAAATATGAAGAAATATATTTAATTTGTAAAAAATTGTTTCTAATCACTCGAAAGATAAAAATTATATAAAAATGATAATTATTTTTTTTATTTTTTATTTCTTAACCAAATTAATTTTTATTTTTTTGTTTTAAAAATTCTAAAAATCAAACTATACATAGCCTAAGAATCTTTTGATAAGTCATTTTTTACGTTGGTAATTTATTTAATTATTTGTTAATTTTACGACATTTTTACCATCTGAGGCCTGTTTAGTAACCATTTCATTTTCAATTTTCAATTTATATTTACAAAATTTTAAAAACTGTCATAAAAACTTGTTTGATAATTTTTTTGGTTTATAAATAGTTGTCTCGGTTTGTAAATTTGAGAAAAAAACATAAATTCAAAAAATGAGTTTATGTTGGTTTTTAAACAGAAATTTTAAAATTTGACTAACAAATTTTTTTTTCAAATAATTTTTTTCCAATTAATTTTTTTTTAACTAATACTAACCGAGGAGACAATTGGTAATGCTACTTTGAACCTTGAGGAGGGGATTGTAATTTCTAAAATGTGAGGGGTGTCAATGTAATTTACCCAATGAAGGAAAAATTGGTATTTGAAAAAATTAAATTGCTGACATCAGCAAAATCTGTTAGTTGACTTAACAGTCAACTAACTAAGGGAGTAATCTGTAATGAAACTTTAAATCCCAGGGAGGGGGATGTAATTTCCAAAAGGTGAGGGGGAAAAACTGTAATAAACATGAACCTTAGGGGTGCAATGTAATTTACCCAAAATTAAATATTTAAATTGCATGCTGAATTTTATAAATTTAAAAATTGTTTAGTAAAAATTTAAATATTAAATTAAAATAAATTTCTTATATGTATAAGATTAAATTTAAAATTTATTATTTTTAAGTTATATTTTTTAATTTTTATATTGTGATGATGAGATTTTGGTAGTAACGATGGCGATGGTGCTAATGGTGGTAATGATAAATGTAAGGCTATTCAAAAATCCATTCAAACTGGTAATTCGGAGCGAACCAGATCAAATCTTACGGTTTGGTTCAGTTCTATTAAGAATTGGTTCAGTTTCGGATTAAGAAATATAAGAACCGTAAAAACGGTTCGGTTAACGGATTTTATGGAAAAAAAAAGCGGTCCGAACCGAACCAAAATTTAAAAGATATATATATATATATAAAATATCAAGTTTTATTTTTATTAATTGGTTTTTTATAATTTTAATGATATTAGAATGGTATAGATATGTAATGTTGAGTAATGCTTTAATATTATTAATTTTTATCATGAGTTAAATGTAATTAGTTTGAATAATTATTTTACTAATATTAACAATTTATTCTTGTAAATAGAAATTTTTGGAACTGTGAACCAAACCGAAACCAAATCGTTTTTCGGTTTGGTTCTGGTCTAGTTTTACAAGTGTAATGGTCTGGTCTGGTTCTCAAAATTACAGAACCGTTTGGA